GGGGGGGGGGGGGGGGGGGGGGGGGGGGGCTTAACTTACGCCAGATTTCTCTCTCTTTTGCGGCGTACAGCAGTGTTGTTGCCGTGGGCAATGCATTTATTTTTCAATCCGGGGTCTCCTGATTGTGGCGCCTTTGCTGATACGCGTATGCGGACATTTACATCTAAAGGTCATGTAGAGGTCATGAAGAGGTACCCCCAAGGCTCTTGCCTGTTGTACCTACCCATGAGGAGAGAGGCATGCCTGGCCCAAGCCGCTGCTCTCTACTGCTCTATGCATACAACGGTGAGGGAGTGTTTATCGGTTCGACCCGGACACATCCTTCTCAGTACCGCACAGCCGTACAGTGAGCGCCTGCACGCAATATCCTCTGTGTTGGGTACACATGGCTCCCACATGCGTATGACATTGGTGTATGGGTCCCCGAATAAGGCGGTGGTGGGGCAGCTGATAACGACCGTTCAACGGCGCAGTCACCTCATTCAATGTGTAGAACAAGAGTATGCCATTCAAGTTCACTTTCACCCGCCTCACCTTGTGGAGGGCGACCGTTCAATAATGATATTCAGGCTGCGGGGACCCCACTCTTACCGTGGGCTGTATTAAGACTTTACACCCCCTGGACCAATTTCCTTTGCTCGACAACTCCACCACGAAAGAGGATTCCGAAATCGAAGAATATATTTTCGGAAAACTCTCTATGAGACGGTTCCGACCCCGCCGTTTTCGGCACTGTCACTGTTGTTCCTGCCGAGATATCGAGCTTCGCAAATCGGTCCAGGGAGTGATATCTTATGCAACCTACGGTACAGAGTACGGTACCAATGTTGAGCATATCAAGCTCTCAAGTGCGAACGCTGAATGTAGTTGAAAATGCGGCGTTTCGGACAAGACAGGACAAGCACTTCCACACGTACACTGCCCGCGTCCCCCTCAGGTATCCCCAACATACACGCCTCGCCTCTCACGAGTGCTACCGCGGCGGGCACAGGATGGACTGGCTTCATTTTCCTGCTACTAGAGATTACGCCGTGCGGTCTAATTGTACGTTGTCGCGAACACCTTGTGAGAAAACGCATGTCGACTCCTCCTCCAAGGCGGCTGACGCAACCAACCTATGAAAACCTCAACCAACAGCAATTTCATCGTTCCTAGCGTACCGCTGCACGCTCACACGGGATTGCCCGGTCGCCGAATGATACTGCTGAACCACACGGCGACTGCACACCTCCAGTCGTTGTAGCCTACGCTTCTGCTGTCTTTAGCGTCTACAGCTGTATTTAGCACAATGATAAGCATAAGACAGGCTGTAGAACATGATCCCTGGGGGGTATCATCTCCATTTCGTTCTGGACAGATATTGATTTGCCTTCTTTTCTCCGTACACTTGCTCTGGTGGTGGAGTGATCTCACTCACACAGCGGCAAGCCACAGCAGCGTCGTAGCAGCACCAGGTACCCATTCTTTCGTTATCCGGCGCCAATCTGTACCGTCACACTCACTGAATAGCACGGTCCACGGTATATCACGTTTTGCAATGGCTTCCTTCCCTAGGATCCAGCCGCTCTCTGATGGTGTAGAGGGCAGGTGCTCTTCGGCGGTTCCCGGCTGCCGGGCATACCAAACCCATGCGCACCCACCAGCCAACTTGGAGCCAAAATAGGGGCACCGGCGGATGCAAATGTACATATTCGTGTTGAGGGGGCTCAGCGCCTGATGACATCAACAAAACCTATCACCACAGACTAAATGGCTGAACAACGACATCATGGCAAGCAACGCCAGCAGGTAACAGGCAGACGGCGCAAAGATGCCGTCTTCAAACTCTGAAGATCGACGTCATATCGATGGCTTCGAGGTGGAGATTTCAAGCTCGTCCAAAGGGAGGCGACTTGGGAGCAGTGGAAGCAGTGGCTTCGAGTACCTCTGTTGCATGCCGCGGCCAAGAAGGCAACATGGATCTCTTCAGGCGGCTTATGGACGCTGGTGCCGACGGGGAAGCAGGCTGGCGGGGTTGCGATGGACGAACTCTGCTGGGTGCGGCCGCATGCGGCAACAATATTGACAAGGTGGTACGGGCTCTGCTCACCGCGGGGGCGAAGAGTATTGTAAACGTCCGGTTCGGGTCTACGCCCGAGTCCGCTCTCCACGTTGCGGCAGCGCGGGGTGCTGAAGACCTATGCTAGGCGCTCATGATCGCCCGAACAGACCCGAATGTACGTGATTCCGAGGAATTCAGTCCGCTTCACCTCGCTGCCGAAGCTGGGCACCACCATGTTATAGAGAGCCTTCCTCTGAAAGGGGCCGATGTACACGCCGAGACGGGTGCCGGAAAGACTCCGCTCCACCTGACTGCTTCCAAGGGTCATACGCTGTGCATCTCTGGGCGCTGCAGACAAGGACGTGTTCGATGAGTATGGTGAAACGCCACTGCTGTTCAAGGCGGCGGTAAACAACCACCTCGGAGTTGTTGAGAAGCTTCTAGCTGCTGGTGCCAACCACGGCATCCGTGCCGGCAACCAACATTCTCCACTCGAGATTGCTGCAAACAGCGGTCACGCGACCATCGTGAAGGCCTTCCCTGACAAGACAGAAGTGCAGTCCACGCCACCGATGATTGCGGCTTCACACGCTACACTACCGGTTGCCCCGGTGGTCTAGTGGGTAGCCTCGCAGCCTGCTAAGGGCCAGGTCATGGGTTCGAGTCCCGACAGAGTGAGTTTTTTCTCGCTTATTAAATCCTGGTCTCCGTTCGAAGCGACACGCTGCAAAGCTCGTTGTTAGTAAACTTGATCGACTTCATTAGTCGAGAGGGGAGGGATTGCTGTACCCTTGTCGCGAAAAAAATATCTCAGGCAGGAACCGCAGGAGGGGGTCCAACCCCCCCCTCCTATGTGACCCCGGTTGGGTCGTCTAGCTAGTAGAAGTGGAGGATAGGGGCCAGAGGGGCAGACGACAGAGTCCAATGATGGGAGAAAAACAACAACAATAACAACGATGCTGCAACTGATGACAGATCTGTCAGTGACGAGCAATGTTGTACGTGTACTGTTGGAGGCTGGGGCTGATGTTCAACGCGACGAACACCGGACACGGCAATTGCGACACGCCTCTCCATGGTCGCCGTAGATCGGATGGCATCGATCGGCACGATCCACGCTCTGTTGGAGGGAGGGGCCAACGTCAATGTGCGTGACGATTTCGACCAGACACCATTGCATGTAGCTTGCGTGAGGTCAAATGTGGTGGCTGTGGATACTCTGCTGCGTCGGAGAGCAGATGAGAAGTTAACGGACGACGATGGATCAACCCCTGCAGACGTGATAAAAGCTCCGGAAGAGGACGGCAATAACGACGAAGAAATCGAGGCCAACCAGCGCATGCGCCAAATGCTGGCACGCGCTCCAGCCGATAGGTCATGGCGTCGCCGCGGGCGGCTGGTGGTAAGCCGTTCCTGCCCGACCAGGGTGCAGATCGCAAACGGCAGCAGCAGCGGCAGCTGGATCGGCAGCAGCAAGGGTTGCTCCGTCAAGGTGGCGAGGGTCAGCGTCGAGGAATCGGGTGGGGGTGATGAGAAGACGGAATACGACACGGTGGTCGACTGGAGGGATTTGGTGGGCAGGATAGTCGGACTGGAGGCTGATCGCTTGATCCGCTTGGTGACGGGCTTCCTTTGAGGTACGTGTTTTGCTGTGGGGTTGATGGATGTTTCGTTGCCATCGCAGTGAAGAATTACCGTAATGTCGTGAATACTGCCGTGCACAAACTCGGGACTTGCGGCAGGTGTTTTTCTGGATTGCGTTGTATCGCCACCTCCGTGGTCTTGACATCCAAAGGGGGTTGATCGAATCGGCCCCGTGTAGTTTCGCTGCAGATATGATGTATCCCCTGTTCATGGTTTCGCGCAGCGCATGGGTAAAATATGAACGAATGTCATTCGTCGGAAACAATCGTACTACCATGGGGTGCGAAACGACCGAGGTTTTTGAGCTGTGCCGACCGAACAAGGAATGTCTGTTTGTCTGTTGCCAGCAATCGCTGTTCGTCTGTCGGAGCGAGAGCTAACTATGTACTGCTGCACCCGTCTCTTGCTCACGATTACGGGCTGTGATATTCTTGTGGCGGTTGTTCTACAGCGTGTAGGGAGTCATTGTTGTGGTGCTGTAGCTGGAGATGTCACTCGGAAGTGTAGTGGATGCCTCCAATCGACTTCCCACACGAGCTTCTTGTCCTGTGCGCACCACTGGTGGTGTCATTCATGGCTTTTCGGTGTAGCGATGTTTCCGGATTGCAACACTCACGCGCTCTCGTTTGTTGTGCCATTCCCGGGCCTTGCTGCTTGCAAGAGCATGTGCTGTAGTCCCTCTGTTTCTCTTGCATACTTGCGCAGACGGACTGATCCCACATAGTGCTGTCGATAGGTGTGCCTCTGACCACGCTTCTGTTTCACCCGACGACTTACGTGCTGCATGTCAGGTTTCAAGGACATGAAGAAACGGGAGCGGGGTCCCGTTCTCGAGCCTACCTTGCGTATGATGCTTCGGGCCAGGTGGTGGCGACTGAACCGTTTCGATGATGCAGATGCCGGCTGGAAAGTTGATACACAGTAGATGTGACAGGGCCGAACCCTGGGGCTAATTTGATTGTCGCTTGAGAATGGGGTTGTGTCCGAGAGGCCTTCCTCTCTGTTTTTGCCCCGATCATTGTTTCGTTACCACTCCCACGTGGCCCCTCGAACACTCAACTGATTTGCTCGTTGGGTTCCTTTTTCCGCCTTGTTTTCGGTTGGTTCCTGCTTGTTTTCTGTCTCCTCGATTCCGTTGCGTCTGTGGACTGTGGACGTTCAATTTCATGCCTTCTCTACAGTAGGTACGTGGTGTGTAAGAACAAGAACTGTGAGGACTTCGATAGTCAGGCCTTGATGCGTTGTTGCTGCCGACAGGACGCGAGCCGGGCATTAGCAACGACACTACTGCCTGAATACTTCGAATGCGAAGGGACCACGCCTGTTGCTTGGACGCGCGCCAACCCCGTGTGCTGCGAGTTGTCTCCCGTTTGTTCTGGGTAGCTTGGGTCGCACATCAACCCACAGCTGGTCATAAATTCATCTGTTCTTGCCGAAGGGACACGTCGTTTTCTGAGAGGGGCGTCGTGTGTCCTCGTGTCGTAGCTCTCATCTGTTGTTTCGCAAGGACTGAAGCGCGTCGTGAAGGACGTTACTATGTTGTCTGCAAGAAGACGAAGCCAAACGCTGTGTAAAGTAGGCAATGCACGTAAAACATCATCGCTCCGTGCTCAACCCTGCTGTGCTTGCCAAGCCCGAGCCGACTTACAGCATGTGACACCACGAGGGTATGTATGGCAGAATGCGGTTTTCCCCCCAATTCCTGCTGCGGCTATGAAAACCGACTCAAATTTGTTCACGTGATGTGATGTAATGTGACAGAAATCCTGGCACAAAACCTGAGCCTAGTTTGCTCTTAGTCCACGAAATCCCAGCACGTGCACTCTTGGCGGTGACCTCGCGGAACAAACTGAGACGAAACACGAAGTCCTGCACTAGTCTAGGGGTCGACTTGTCGAGTTGACCGAATACTGGCAGCTTCAGTGCAACGCAACATTATCAAGTCACTTTAAAATACATCGGCCAAGACATTCTACAGCAGTTAGTGCCCGCAATTAAGAAGTAGTTTTGTAAGAAATCGAGGCTCACTTTTCCACGAATAATATGAAAATAGGCTTAAGAAACATAGCTGTCTGGGTCACACAATGAGAAACGTCTCAATAAGAAACAGCGGCGACCGCTGTCCTACCTACTACTACCGGAACTACCCACAGAAGTGATGAGAGACTGGGAAGAGAACGACAGCAACGACGAAGAAATTGAGGCCGACCACCAGAAACCGGTCGCCCCGGTGGTCTAGTGGTATCCTTGTAATCCGCGAGTCGCAGAGGTCGTGAGTTCGGATCCCCATGGGGTAAAAAATTACGTAATTTTCGGGTGAAAGCGAAATACAGCTAAGAATCTCTCGTGAGTACCAAACTTCGACGTTAGCACCGTTGACGAGGGAAATGGACGGCTGGACCCTTCTCGCGATAAAAATAAATTCAGCACGCACCGCAGGAGGAAGGTGGGGCATGAAAAGGAAAAAGAAGAAGAAAAAAGCCCTCGTGTTTACCACCTTCTGTGTGACCCTGGATGGTTGTAGTTGTACGAACAAATACGTTGAAAAGTGTAGTACTCTACATGCGCTGAAAAGTGTAGTACATCCACGTCTCACCACGAATGAGGGGACTGTCCCTATAATAAGGACGAAAACACACACACACACAGGTTGGGATCTCTGCGACAACGATAGTAGTGAGGGTAATTCTTTTGGGAGTGACGAAGATGAAGGAAAGGGAAAGGGAAGAAAGGAGGACGAAGACGACGATGGAGCAGGAAAACATGGAGGAGTGGAAGAGAGCAAAGGGTTTGAGCCAAATGACCTTCCCCACAACAACAAACGTAGGGCTAGGGAAGAACTGCCCAGAGATTCTGCTTGCCAAAATGAGGATCAGAATGATGGTAGCGAAAACAAGGAGGATAGTCTACTGGTGAAAGTACTCCTAAACGAACTCGAGTACTAGGTAATAGCCTTGGTAGACGCGTGCATTTTTCGTCTGTTGCTGCTGTTTCTGTTTTTAATCCGAAGGATAGTTTAGCCTCCCCCATGCTGCCCCCTCACGGGGTCCCAGTTCATGGTAGATAGAAGTGTTTTGTGTTTTCAACCGCACTAAGACTGACGTCTTTTCATTGGTCAGCCGGTTAGCGCGGTCGATGCTAATAATAAAAACACACACACAGCAAATCAGTTCGGAGGTGGTGTTCCAGGAGGAGTTGAGATAGTGGCTTCCACAGCAGCCCTCAGCCACCAGCAAGGCAGCACCATTCTCTCCTTTGATGGGAAAAACGCTTACCACAGCATGTGCAGATCTTCCATCTTACCAGCAGTGGCCACTCATACGCCACACTTGGTGAAGTACTTCGGGAACATCTACGCTCGAACCAAGGCGAAACTTCTGTTCAAAATGGAAGATGGTTCGATCGAGGTTGTTCTTTCACAGCGCGGAGTTCAACAAGGCTGCAATTTGGGAGGGTTTGGCTTCTGTGTAGGACTCCTTGATATCATGAAAGAGTTCAACAACAAGCCACCAGTGCCAGGAGTCAAACTCATCGGATACGTCGACGACCTCCAAGCACATCTTCCACCAGGTTTGGCTAGGAACATGCAGGCCATATCCACTGTAANAAAAGCCACCATTGCCAGGAGTCAAACTCATCGGATACGTCGACGACCTCCAAGCACATCTTCCACCAGGTTTGGCTAGGAACATGCAGGCCATATCCACTGTAACGAATTGGATTCAGGAACGTCTCTCCCAAAAAGGCATTGAGCTCAGTCTCCCGAAATCCAAAGTGCCTTTCCCCGAAGGTCTTTGCATGTCCTCGTTGACAAACGGCGAACAGCAACAATTGACGAAAATTGGTCTGTCAGTTGCTGAAGGTGGCATGCCAGTTGTCGGGATCCCAG